AATGAACCGTAAGTCTCGCACATTCACAGAAAATGGCTTACTTCCACGTTGAAAAATAAGGTGGATACTATAATAAAATCTATGTTGATTAGCATTCGATTATAAATATACTTAAATATATTATGAACATTAAATACCAGAGGTGGCTTGAAGAACACCATATATTGTCGTGTTGTGTGTTTACTGTCTTCGTGTTTGATCAGTTAAAGCGTTTATATCTTCTTTTTATTCAGTCACAGTGCTAGCTGGATGCCTTTGCCCATAATAAGGATTTCCTGGAACACCATGATTTCTATTACTTCTGTGAGGCATATGTGGAGTTTCTGCACGTGTGCACCCTCTGGCGTCCAGTATAAGTGAAACAGACATTCCATGTGTTTAGCACTCAGTTCAATTTTGGGCAAAAATAGGAGAAATTATACTTCTGCCTAAATAAAATATATTATTGCTCTTTTGTTGGTTTTAATTGCTTCTATTGTCTTCATTTGTAAGTCGCTTTGGAATAAAGCGTCTAAATGACTAAATGTACACTGAACAAAACTATAAACGCAACACTTTTGTTTTTGCTTGATCTTTGAGTTCAGCTCATGAAAAATGGGGGCAAAAACAAAAGTGTTGCGTTTATAATTTTGTTCAGTGTATATGTCTCTTGTTCACGTGACCAAATGCTGCTCAAAACATTTGGTACTAATGTTATCTATATGGTTTAGGGATGCTAGTGCACACAAGGCTGTAGGCCATTTGATGTAAATTGGGTCTTTTTGATCTCACATTTGGGGGTACATTTTCTCATTTTCAGCACTGTGTGTAAGGCCAATATGGATAAGGACTGCCCAATTAATTGCCCTGTCTACACATAATAATAAGATGTGTATTAATCGATAGTATCATAGATAGTCGAGGGAGAGATGCTCCCGTTTACACCTGGTGTTTTAATTAGTCTCTTTTGTCCACTTTTGACTACTTTCTTTATTTCTTTGAGGGGAGGGTCTATGGGTGGGTTTATGTGGCTTTTTCTGATCTTTCAATCTAATATTGCTAAATAAGCTTGCGCTATTTAGTAATGTGTTTTTATAATAACCATCACTTTGGATGAAAGTGTGAACGCGATTCATGATCAGTCTTGATCATTAGTCTAAAAATCACACTGAATAATTATCTGCTGCTAATTTTTGCTGAACATATCCTGAATATCTCATGATAATAACATGATATTGGTTCTAGTTTGGTTTGGTTCTGGTTTTCATGATATTGGTTTTAGTTTAACATCTTTCTGAGACTCTTACATAGAGTAATGGGAAAATAGTGATTTTTCTGAGAGGTTTCCTTACAAAGTTTTTGCATCAAAAATACCAAAATAAGAAAATCTCTACTATCTTGTTTTTTTATTTCTACTCTAAATTCTGAAGTGAATGTAGATGTCTATGTAAGCATTTTAGTATTTGTTAGTCTAGGTAAGACTTTTATTTGAGTAAAATTGAGATATTATTTAATATTTAATTAACATACAAATATTTAATATAATGTTATATATTTCAGTTAAGTTAATGGAGCTCTCTCCTCTTGAACGGCTGATCTAAATCAGGTGTGTTAAATAAGGAATGAAAAGAAGACGACGATGATGAATGTGAATAGCGGGGCGACTAGAGGTTGTGGAAAGATAAGGCATTCTAGCTGGGAAAGGGAAAAGATGTCTTCTGGAATTGCATTTTGGAGACCTATCAGAATGCTGAGATTGTCACACACAGGAGACACCACAACAGGATGGCTGTGGATAAGTCTCTGAAGGTGACTGCTGAGACTCTGGAGGGCAAGAGAACTACTTGTCAGTAGAAATAGTTAGATCTTCAAAGAATCAAACATTTCATGGACAAATACCAGAAGGATGGCACAGTGACGTAATGAGTGGAAGATCAGATGGGCAAGCTCCTCCTTAAAATTTGTTTAGGAGCTTAATTTCATCAAGTCAGATGTTGATTTATTAACTGCACTGACAAAGTTTATTCAGTCAAGGATTTATTAGATTGACCTGGTTCATAAGAATCATTTGTTTATGAATCTGACTGCATTGGTTATGCCGTACATTTTGAATTCACTAAAAAAGAAACAACTCAGTAGAGTCATTTATTCATGAATTGGACTATGGTGGTAAAGTTGTTTGTCTGTTTTTGTGTGCAGCTTGTGAGGACAAAAAAAGTAGAAATACCTTTTTTTTTTTTTTCTTAATTTTGTTGCTAGCTTACTATCAGTTGGTATATGTATGTTCAAACATCTAATCTGCTCTGGGCATCAATCATGCTCTGATTCAAGCAAGAGCAATTAATTTTAACTAAATTTTAACTAGATTTTAGGTAGGTTTCAACAAGATTTTAACGAAGATGCTTCATAAATGTCATATCAGGGTAAGTTTTTCCCCCTGTATTTCTAGCAGCGGAAATGTTCATTAGAATTTTTAAATTAACTTTTTGTTAATAATTCTATAATAAACCCACCATAAGAAATACTTACTGGAGTAAAACGCAATAGCCCTGGTCTTCCTAAAGAAGTTTGAGTGAGCTATAAAATGTTTTGTTGTACACTATTGCAACATGTGGCTTAAGACTGCCTTGACAGTAACATCACAACCCTTCATATGGTATAACACAATCAAATTCATTGTACCTCAGAATCCAGCAACTACTTACCCTACAAACAAAGCATTGTGGATGCCACAGAGCACTTAGAGCTGAGATGTAATTCTCCATGATGGGCTGGGAACAACCCTGACAACGAGAAGCAAAGAGAGCCAGAAAACACTTCTGGCAGTACTGCTTGCCTTCACGGTCATGAAAACCTGAGGAGAAGAAGCATACAGTTATTTGTCATCTTTGAGACCTACAAGCATTTGGCATTATCAAAAACTTGGCATTATCATTACTTGTATAATAAATAGCTTGTACTAATTTATGAGGCAATGAAGATGAGGCAATAATGCAACACTTTCCTGAACTGTCCTATATAATGAAGCACTGGAGTAAGTCCAAGTAAATCAGTTTGTTCAGAAAGTACATTAAATGGTTAAAAAATGAGCTAAATGTCTATTCACACAGTTAACCAATTTCAGCAAAAAAATGTCTATAGCCCTATTCGGATGGTAATTGTCTCTCAAGTAGACATAAGTAAAAATAAATTTACATGGCACCTCAGTGATAAAACTCATGGATTCAGATGGTGATTTATTCACAGTGGAGAAGCAAGTTCTGTGATCCTACGAACCCGGGAATGCGCTGCTCATGTGGCCAGTTGCATGATTGTCTGCTGTAAACATGTTATATGCTTTGTATAATACGAATAAATTCATATTCAATAAAATCCTATTTATTATTGGATTATTTAAAGGGGTCATGCTTTTTTTTTATATTATATTCCCTGAGGTTTAATTATAATATTACTAAAGTTTTTTGGAAAATGTAGTGATTTATGACCTTTTTCCACCGTTTCTCATCCTCTGACTGAAACAGTCGGTTTTGGGGTGTTTTCCCTTTAAGAGGTCAGTGTGACCACCCACTTTTATGATTGGATAAAATCCATTACCGTCATTACTGCCATTATCATTTTAAAAATAGTTTTTATATGAAATACGTTACTTACAGTTTGCTGTTGTTGGGTGCAGAACAGTTGGCATGGACTGATCTTTTAGCAAAAGTATTTTGGCAAAGCCAGCATCATACTGCGATTTGTTCTCAAAACAGTTAATGGTGAAATGTACTGAACACATGTGTAAATTAGCACTGACGTGACTGGGGCGTTTGTTAAAAATAAACTGAATCCATTTTTCTCTGACGTCAGGATCCTTCGGCAGCGTATACAAACATGTTGTTTTTCCACAGCCAGGAACGGCACATCGTCTACCTGGCATCGCAATCTTATTGTAAACAACTACTCCTTCAGATTATTACACAAATGCTTTTTTATTGTTGATGAGGACATTTAAGTTTTGAAACTTGCACGGTGTATTAAGCATACAAAGACCTCTTCTATGTCAAAAGATCAAGGGAAATTTTGTTGATCATGTCATGACCCCCTTTAAATCTCCTGTTTAAAATAGGAAAATAGAGGTGCTATAGTTGAAATGTTTTTCTGTCTTGCATTTTATCTCTCAAAATTATGGATGTCATTAAAAATGTGGAGATTAGCAGAAATAAGGTAAACAAAAATGGTTTAAATTTTTATGTATGTAATTGTAGGCCTATATAATACATATTTAGAAAATTTAACTTTTTTTTTTTAAAAATTAACTGTATTGCATACCTGCTTCTGCCATAATAATGACCCATTTCAAATGTTAAAATGCTTTTCTTCTCTTTCTTCTTTTTGTTCATAACAGCTCCCACTCACTGTGGTGGAGCAGTTATGAAATATTGTCCTTGTAAATACCTTTCAGCATTTTAGTACTTTTTTTCAGTAATTAATATGCATGTAAATTACAGTGAAGTGCAACAGTTAACTATGGTGTTTGGCAGTTGCCAAAAAGGATATAAACATTGAATTTTGAATCGATTTCTTCTTGTAAACTCAGAGATGTTGATTCAGACGGCAATTAAATTAACACATGACTCTGGTGTTTGTCAAAAAACAGTAGGTCATTTGGCGTGGAATTTTACACAGGTGGTGGGAGAAAAACACAGGCATTCTGGATTCGGACAGCAATAAAAACACCCGACTAACCCCTGTAAATGTTGAAAATCATTTAAGTCTCCATGAGAAACAATTAGCGTCCAAATTGGGCTATAGAGATTTAATTTTTTGCCATCTGATTTGAGCCCCTTTCCAAAAATTCTAAATCCGACGTGTACCTGACGTCTGTTCTTCTGAACTACACTACCGTTCTTTTTTTTTTAACAAGAAAAAGTAAAATGAGTGAACAAGTTTAGAAAATGTGCTGCTGTGGGATCATTATATCACTCCTAATGTCACACACAATCTCTGCGTCATTTGTTTAGGAGCGGAGCACCCTTGGTCAGCCCTTGAGGTTTCACAGTGAAAATGGTCCTCTCCCTCCAGGCTCTCTTTAGGGGGGATGGGAGCTAGGCGAATACACCCCGTAGCTCAGGACCCTCTTCTAAAGTCATTGGAATCACAGGTGGATCTGGCTGAGGAGCTTGGGACAGGTCCTTCACTTTGCCAATCCTCTCTCGCCAGTTCCAAGGCGTTAACACTGAATTCAGAAGCCTGCTTGCCAGTTTCTTCTGGTCCGATGGAGAGCATGTTGCTTGCCCGCTCTAGTCCTGAGGAACTAGATGTGACTGGAGTTGAGATGGACATTGTGAGTGAGGCTTCCTCCTTCCCAGCCCCTGCATATCAGGAGATATCCTGAACGTTATGGCCTACACCATCACCAGACTGAGTCTGCATTGGTCAGTGGAGAAACAGGAGAGATAGATGACCATTTCCTGGCAAGTCACAGGCCTCCCGCGAGCCTTCCATTTCTCACAGAGCACCACAAAGTAGTGTTGAAATCCTGAGAGAAACCATTTTCTGCTCATGTTTTCCACCCCTTAGATCCAATTGTTCTAATGTAAAGAGGTTGGAGGGACACAGGTACACGAGGATGCCCCGGATGGAGGAATCATTAGCAGGTTACCTTTCATCTGGCATGGTGTCCTCTTTGAAAGCTCCCGCTTTGCCCTCTAAGCCCTGCCAGTTTACATCAAAACTAGTGGGCAAACCATATGTGGCGGCGGGCCAGGCTGGTGGTGCCTTGCACACCATGGCAGTGCTGCAGGCATAACCAAGCCGATTTACTGAAGGACGCTGACTGCAGTGGGAGTGTAGATCCAGATGCAGTACTGCAGCTCAACTGTACAACTGATCTTGCCCTCTGGGCTACCAAGCAAACAGCCCGTGCCATCGGCCGATCTCTTGCTGATCGGGTGGCCATGGAGTGGCATCTTTGGGTTAACCTCTCGGGGCTGAAAGAGGAAGAAAGATCTTTTCTCTTGGATGCCCGGTCTCACCTTCCAGGCTTTTTGGCACCGGCATTAAGACAGTGATCCAAAAGTTTAGGGAGGTGAAAGTTAAGTCAGCAGTTTTTGAGCGCTACATCCCCCACTATTGCCAGCATCCTTCAGCCCCCTTCTGATCCTATTGCTGGCCGCCAGTTGTTGGCAGGATCAGAAGGCAAGTGTTGCCGCTTGAGCCCCCCTACAAGGCGTCAACCTCATGGGAAAACAAGAAGGGATATCTGAAAGGTCATTACGGCCAAAAAACATCAGAAGGTGTTGAGATCCCTTCTTCTTTGTTTTTTTTCCTTTAAGACGAGTTGATATTTGTGTCCTCTTTGCAGGAAGTGATTCAGGGGCAGCTGTGCCCACAAGAATGATGCAATACTGCTATGATGGTAAAGGAGTATTTCTCCCTTTGAAGAATATACTGTTATAGGGGATGCAGAGATGAAAGCAATATGCTCCTTCTGTACTTGCATATGTGTTATTATGTGCACGAAAGAAGAATGTGGGGAGTACTGTTTTTATTTTTATTCTTTTTTTTTTTTGTGACTGGGCATGTTTATTCTTAAACCCAAGTAATAATACATAACACACAAAAAAAAAACATTTTGGTAAAAGGGTTGTTCAGGACAATATGGTTCTAAACAGAACTGTGTAAAAAGAACCATATTTTTTTTGAGATTTTTAGAAAATGTCAATATTTTCACCACGATATTCAATATATTTATATCTAAACAGCGGACGAACTTATCAATGAGGTCAATGATGTTACCTATACTAGAGAACTAGCTAGCAAGGAAAGGGGTGTGGAACCACCTTGTGACACAACCCACCAGAAACAACCATGAGTAGACAACTAAATAGAGATACCAGCTGGGCAGTCGCCTGGACAAACAAGCACACTGTCGTAGGTCTATGGGAACCCTTGGTCCTATTTCAAAAATCGGCTACAGGGAAGGAACAAAGATGTGGTAAGGCTAATCATTGCCAAACATCTGGCGTCAATCGGCACATGGAACTCAAGGACACTTTAGAAAAATGGAAGCCTTGAATTACTTGTCAACCAACTTATCAAGTGGTTCAGATGGGACGTTAGTGGTCTGTCTGAGGTATGTAGAACCAATCAAGGCACAAGGCTTTATTGGTCAGGATTATAGCATCACTATTATCCAAGCATATGCACCAACTACTACCCATAGCAACAACGCTGTGGATGACTTGGTGCTGCTGAGTGGTTTGTGATTGTAGCTCCGTGTAGCTTCAATTTTCTGTTGAATCTCTTTCTTACTATCACTCTCTGTTGTTTAAAGACATTTTCTTTTCTCTCTCGCTCTGTTTTTTCACGAGTTCATCAAACAACAGTGGTAAGTCAGAATCATTCATCAATCACGGAGAGTAATGTCTACTTCTCCTGCTATTGTTGTTTGCACCACTTGCCACATGTATAGTTTATCTCTCTCTGTCGGCAACGAGGGATTCACATGTGATAAATGCAAGGAAATAGTTAGGCTGACAGAGAAGATTTCAGGATTAGAGAAACACATCCAAACTTTAATTGAGGATAGTAAGAATGTGAGGGCTGTAGATACGGCTTTGTATGTGACTAGCTCAGGGAGTCCTGTACATTGTTCGGTTCCAGTTACAATGCCTCTGCAGCAGGGCGACTGGGTGACTGTGAGGCAGCGTAGTCGCGGGTCAAAACACCGCTCTTCATCCAGCCACCATAGTCCAATGTTTACCGGGTGCCAGAGCGCCTGACATCTTGGCAAATTTAAAAGTGCTGGCTAATGCTAAACGTAAATTCAGTAAGATTGTTATTCACGCCGGTGCTAATGATGTTCGACTT